TTCTTCAGGAACCAAAACCTTTTTTTTAACATTGAGTCTGTTGGGAAAATGGGGTTCAACTCAAAACAGCTTATTATTCAACTGTCATCAGAGAACTACCATAATCAGGTTGTAAGTGCAGAGGTCTGCTGTACAAGTGGTGCCTCGCACAACGGGCGCCTCGTAGAGCGATGAATTCGTTCTACGAGGCCGGTTTTGTGATCGTAAATGCGATCGCAAAATGGTGCCTGCATAGGGCGAAAATCGCAGAGCGGTCGGTAAGTGGTTCGCTTACCGACCTTCGCTTTGCGACCTGCCGATCAGCTGTTCGACAGCTACAAAATGGCCGCCAGAAGCCCCAAAATGGCCGCGCGCAGCGTTTTCGCACCCTCGTTAAGCGAGGGGAGGGCGCGAAAATGGCTGCCGGCCATAGGGAAGCATCGCTGAACGGTGAGTATTCGGCCCAATTGGAACGCATTAAACCAATGGCTTTTCCTGTCCCGTTCAACGATGCTTTCACACAGCAAGGGTTAATCCGGAACGGATTAACCTCGCTGTGCGAGGCACCACTTATATCTATTGACTGCTAAACTATGGCCAGCCATGGGGTGCGTGAGTTTAGAATCTTGATTGTATTAGCCCTTGATGTTTCCTTTGATGGTATTATATTTCCTTCACTTTAAAAATGAGACAAGCTAGTCATTCTCCAGCAGGGATAGGGGGGATATTCCCACACATTTCTGCTGTTCACTGCCTTGGACTTCAGCTCTGAAATCGTGTCTTGAGGTCACCACTGCTCTGATTCATGGCTTGTATATTTATTGTTGGCATGCTCAATAGATACTAATAGTCATAAAGATGATCACATTTGTGTATTAAATTTGCAGTAGTCCTGTCATTTTAATTATATGTGAGTTTAATTCTCAGTTGTTTGTGGTACAATGAATAAAGAAAATGGAGAAAAGGAAGGAATTCTGGTCCAGAGTATTCATTGGGATGAGTGGCAAAGGGCATTTGTAAAGCCAAAGTCCCATAAGGAATAAGCTATTAAATACGTGTTTATGAGCCTGTGGTCACTATGACTTCTTCCTACTTCACCATGTTGCCCTCTATCTTCAACAATCAATCCTAATTTTACTCAGGGGATAGATGGTCTAACATTCTAGGCAAATCCCAGGGGAGAATTCAGTGTAAACACAGTATGCTTGCCTCCATGCATCGGATATAAGCCACCATAATTTTTTCTCCTGTATTAGTGCAGTACAATAGCAATTGCATACTTTGAGTATCAGTGAGAAACTGAACATCTTGGACAGGGTTCTTAATTCTTCATAAATATGAGCAATATATTAGTTTGCAAGGTGTTTCACATAAAAGGGCTTTTATAGCAACATAAAACAGGATATACGTGCTGGTCTGTAAAATCTGAGCACTCCCTAAACGGTGATGCAAAAATATGCTAAATAAATACTTTTGAGTTGAATAAACGTTCATATTAGTCTACTGCAGCAAACAGAAAGTCAAGTGGCACCTTAAAGACTAACACTTTTTATTTAGGGTAAGCTTTTGCATTGCAACGGACTTCATCAGATGCATCCTGGAGAAATAAATGCTGGGTGTTGTGTTTGTTTTTTTAAAATGAGGCATGGCATGCAATGTGTCTTGGATCCCGATCTGCACACAGACTTTGCACGCTCCTCTATGCATAGGCTGTCTCTTGACTTCCTAAATCCATGGCTTTGATGACCAGCCATCCTTTGCTTTTCTTTAGCCTGCTTGCACAGACTAACAGGGCTACCTCTTCCAAAACTATCCCTAGCCTGAAAACGATCCTTGTTAGCCGCCTTGAGTGGTCGCAATGACCAGGTAGGCGGGGTATAAATAAGTAAGTAAGTAAATAAATAAATAAATCTGACTGCAAGTTGGCTCCAACCTATAGCGACCGTAGTGAGAATTTCCGCGGCGTGTGAGACGGGGTGGCTTTCGTACCGCCACCCAACTCTGGAGTCCCTGCACAAATATTAACAGCCACAGCCGCCAACGACGCGTCCATGGCAGGGCCTCGCACGCCCCTCCCCTCAGCCGCCGCTAGAGGGCCTCGGAAGCACGGCCCACCAAGCCTTTGGCAGGCGCTCCACAGGTAGCTCGGAAGCGGGCGAGGAGCCGCACTGGCGCCGCCCACACGCTCGGCTTTGCGCCGAGGCCGAGCCTCCTTCCAGCCAGAAGTGGACTCGACCGCGGCTCCCTCCCCTCAGCTTATGAATCGCCTTCGTACTCCATGCTGGGGCTGCGGCCTCCCTAAGCGGCCAAGGAGGCCGCTGGTGGTCATCCGCAGCACCCGGCCGAGCAACGGCTGGCCGGGCGACCCGGTCGGCGGGCTTCCTTTTCCTCAGGAGAGAAAGAGAGAGGAGGCGGAGGCACGGTCCGAAGCCCCTCTCCCTGCCGTTGAAATCAGCGTCTCTCCCCCCCTTTTTTTTTCAAATAAAACAGCGGCGGCACTCGGGGCTCCTGGGTTTTCGGTTCTTGCGCCCGTGCGAGCTCCGAGGGGCAGAAAAAGGCGCCACTTTATCGGAGCCGAAACTTTTAAAGCCTTTTCTCCTGCGCTGCACGGTTTGGTTGTGTGTGTGTGGAAACTCTCTACAGAGCGGCAGGACTTCCTTCCCGGGATGGCCGGGCACCGGATGGCACCGACAGGCGTAGCCCCCGGCCCTGCGTCCGTTGTTTTTCAACATGGCTGGGGTTTCCTCCACGTGGGAACGCGCCGGCTGGCTGACACGGGGGTGGGTGGGTGGTGGTGGTCGGGGCGAGGGCAGCCCCTCTTTCGCCGCCCTCTCGAGTCTCAAGGAGGGGCCGTCGGGGAGCGGGGTGGTGGCGGCGGCTGCCTTCCCCACTTAGCCTCTTCCCCCCCTTGCCGCTCCCGCTCCCCTTTTTCTTTGTTAGGCGGCGCGCCGTTTCTCCCCTTCGCCGGCGCCCGCCTCTGGCCGCCCAGCCCCCTTTCTGCCCGGGTGGGGAGTGGCGCTCCCCTCCCACACCCGACGACACGACACGGAACTCTGAACCACCTTTCCGGGGTGGCGGCGGGAAGGAGGGAGGTAGGGACGGGGAGAAGAGAGAGAGAGTTGCCAATGTCCGGCATAACTTTTCCCTCTTATCTCTTGCCTCCGCTCCCTTCTCTTCCGGGGCTGAGTTGCGGGACTGAGGAATATCATACTAAGCCAGCAAACGAACACGCGCACAAACAAGCGCACGAATTGCAACCCAGTTTTACACCTCGTTCTTTCGGCCGGCCAGTTCTCTCGTGAGAGGTTTCCCAGCCGCCGCGCTGCCTTATATGTGTGTGTGTTTTCCCCCCCGTCCCCTGATTTTTTGGGCTGCTGTTTGCAAGCCCCAAGCGGCATCTAGAGGAGGAGGAGGAGGAGGGGAGGGCGGAGCCAGGATGAGTAAGGGGTCTTTCGCCACCCCCGTCCCCTCCCCTCCCCTCGGGGACCAGGGCTCGAGGCTGCGGCGGGGTATGTGGTTCCTAGGTCAGCGGGACGCGGCCGCCGCCTCCGACGACTAGGCAGGAGCGAGCGAGGGCAGCAGTTTCGGCGCCCAGCGATGGAGAACGTCGAGCTCCGAGGCGGCCAGGAGAGATTTCCGGCCAAAGATTCGAGGCTGGATCCGGCCTTTTTGGACCAGGGGCACCCCCGGCCCCCGCAGCTGCTGGCGGGAGGGGAGCCGAGAGGAGCGGACCCGTACAAACGGGTGGAAGTGCAGTTGACTGGCGGCGCTCCCTGGGGTTTCACGTTGAAAGGAGGAAGGGAACACGGGGAGCCTCTCATCATCACGAAGGTAGGACACGGGGTTGCTCCTGCACGCGTGCCTGGAAGGGGGAGGATCGTGTTATCAGAGTGGGGAGGGGTACCCTGGTGATTAGGGACAGGTGGGATTTTTTTTATATTTAACCCTCTTTTATGTTGCTGCGGCAGCTCCACGCTGCGATACCAAGGGTTTC